TATAGAGTAGAAGTAGGTTTAGAATATATTGTACAGTGTCGGGAAAAAGAAAAGAATGGCGAGGGAGTAAATTGCCTTTAGCCCGTGCATATCTATGAAGATTTACGAGAGAGGCTGCATTAGATTTGGAACCTTCTCCTCTCTATCCCACTTCCCCAGCTCTTTTTCTCTTCCCATTTCTCTTCATTCATAAAAAGCTCGTGCCATATAAAACCCAATTCGGCTGTAACCTTCTGATTCTCTCTCTATCTCTCCAGCCCCCCTCCGCAATTGGCATCCCTTGATGGCCTCACAAGCAAGCCTTCTCCTCCAAAAACAGCTCAGAGGTCATCTCTTTTTTCCCTTTTGCTTCAATTTAATTTGCTATAGTGTAGAATTGTTATATTTGAAGATCACTTTTCTTTTCCAGACTCTGATCGAACCGGTTTTGATTGATTGATGGGTTATGTTTATCTGTTGCAGATCTTTGTAAGCACCCGGTTGCTGGGTTCTCAGCCGGTTTGATTGATGAGAGCAATATTTTTGAATGGGGTGTCACCATCATAGGGCCTCCTGATACTCTTTAGTATGGCCTCCCTGCTGATTAGTACCTTAAAGATTCAAACTTTATTCAATTTCTAGTGTCGTTAGCCTTAGTTTTGTTTATTTTATCATTAAATTGTGCGTTTTAGTTAGATAACATTGTTAATTGTGATTGGAAATGAATTTCTTGTTTAGTTTGAGCACATCTCGTGTTATGATGGTCTTTATTAAGGCCTTATGTCTGATTACTACTGTACAGATTGCAACTTTGATGCATTATTTGATGTTATGAGGCTTAATTTTGTTAATATTATGATAAAATTCCTTGTCTCGGTTAGATTATGTTGTAAATACCTGATTCTTGTTCATTTTGTTTATGTTATGATGTCGAGTTCGTCTCTTTTTATATGTTTGCTTGTGGTTTTATGGCTTTAAAGTTTTTGACTTTTGCATTGCTGCTTGCGTAGTGCTAATGCTTGCCTGTGATCATTTGGGTTATCTTATTAACTCTGGCTTTACTTCTCATCTGGTCAATAGTTTCTCCTCTATTTTCTATTTAAATTCATAGGGATGTCAGAAATACCTATCAATATGGCTGTCAACCTACTAAAATTCTTGTTTTGGCACTAATATGCTGCGTTTATGTGCTTTGCTTCCTTTTGGGTAAAAGATGCTACTTCTTTCTTTTCTTTTCTTTTTTTTCCATATATTTTGTTTTATTTACATAGTGATTAAGTTGGCTATTTGACAAGTCTTTATGTTTTCCGTTGTCCTTAGCATGTGCTTTGGCCTATTAAGAGAACGGCTTTATATGCCGCTGTTATGCAACTTTTATTCATATGAAGGGTTGATGAGCTGGATGCAGTTAAGTTGATTCTAGTGCATTGTATGTTTCTATCGTGGTTAATTGAGTACTTTTGCACTGTAGCGATGGAGGCTATTTTAATGCCATTATGAGCTTTCCGTCAAATTATCCTCTCAGCCCTCCTACGGTGAAATTTACATCAGAGTTATGGCATCCAAATGGTTGGTCCAGGCAATTTCTCTATTTTGGATTTTTATTGGCTTCTTATCAATTAAACACTTGTGAGTTCATCTGTTTGCTTTGTGAGTTTCAGTATATCCTGATGGAAAAGTTTGTATATCAATTCTTCATCCGCCTGGTGATGATCCAAATGGTTATGAGCTTGCAAGTGAGCGTTGGAGTCCTGTCCATACGGTAGTAACATGTTCAATTATTATCATTTTAGCCATCTCCATCAAACATATTTCAGAAATATTCTTGAGCAATAGCATAATTCTGGGTTGAATATACTGGAATGTGTATGTTTGGTTGCATGCATGCAAATGTCAACCAATAAATTTGTAATGAGTTATTACATCTCATGGTTTAGTTAATTTTAATAAATGATATGCAGTGTGGCTTTCAGTCTCCTCCTAAAATTAGATTTATTAACAGGCCAGAAAACATTTTTGCTTTTTGGATGCTTGGAAATTTCACTTTCCAGTTGGCATATTTAAAAGATTTTGGATGTTTTTTTTTGTGTCGGAGTAGTTCTGTTGATTCTAGTTTGCAGAAATGCAAAGCTTAAGGGAGCATAGTGTGAGAGTAAAAGTGACTATTTGATGAACGGAAAGACATTAATTCGTCTAGAATGTGTCTTAAGAATTACATGAAAATTATATTCTTAACATATTGTCACAATAAATTGACAATTATGCTGTTAAGCATGCCATTCTGTTTCTGTTTTTCATGTGCTGTTGTACATATATTATTGGAGGACATATGCCCAGTATACTCATGGGGTTTGTTGGTCATCTGATCATACGTCTTACAAGTAGAATTTGGATCAGAGGATCAAATTTTGCTCCAACTTGAAATGAGAATATGATATGGCTGCATATCCTAATGGGCAAAAGAGGTCCACACGTCCTCCAAGCAGGATTGTCCTTTCTGTCTTTGTTATAACCATGTACCCTAGCTTTGGTCTTTTTTGTTTTGGGCTATCTATCTTGTCTTTAAGTTGTGATGTTTTAATCTGGTTTTGGGACAGGTTGAAAGTATTGTCTTAAGTATCATATCAATGCTTTCCAGCCCAAATGACGAGTCTCCGGCGAATGTAGAGGCTGCTGTGAGTGAAGATCTCTGTCTTTATTTTTAATTTTTCTGCACTTGTCAATTTGCTTTAGTCCAACATATGTGTGAACTTATCCGACATGCTTTCAGTACATGCTTGTGGCAATGAACCTTTGCAAACTAATATTATGAAGAAATTACTGTTATGGTCCTTGTGCTTGGGGAGGAAGGCAAAGGAAACGCAACAAGATGTCCTTTTGATGCGTTTTCACCATAGAGTGACTGTCTAACATGGGTAGTGAATTTTCATACGAGTTTTATGGAAGTGCACCTCATGTCCACAAGAATTGGCATACACTAATTCTTGAAATTGCTTAGCAATGGATGAGGGATAAAGAGATCTCGGTGTTTGAAATTGCTTTGCCAATGTACTACATGTCATAGAAGTTATGAACATACAAATCTCTGTTTGAAAAGACTGGACCAAGAATCTGCTGAGTGTTTCCTAAATTGCTTGTTAGTGATGTGTTTCTCATAGACTTAATCTTAGTTATCTAACAAGAGCAAGATTCAAGCGCACTGAAACTACGGTTATGTAGCTTTTCATGTATCTGGAAATAAACAAATGGTGTACGTTTGCATATTTGCTGCATTTGTATCTGTTTCTGGTGAGACCCTTTTCCAACCTGTATTCCTCATTTCTAATCGCAATATATAGCTAATCTTCCAAGAGTGTGTATACATGTGTGTGTGTGTGTATACACACTCTTAATGTCACTTGGCACTCTTGAGATTTTAGAAATATCACTTACCTCCCTTAATAATTGTAAAAAGACTATATTAACCCTCACTTGACACATAATTCACAACATATCAAATAAATAGAGCTCAAAAATTATAAAAAAATAAACGAAAGTCACTTTCTTCTTTTATCATTCTCTCTTACTCATATTTTTTGGATGACTATGCAATATTTTATTTGTAAATTATAATAAATTAAATTTGTTTATCTGTTATTTTTTGTGATTGTGTTAAAGTGGGGTATGATTTATTTGCTTATTTTGAGTTGATTTTTATAATGATTGGTACAAGTTTAATGGTTTGAGCAAGGGTTGAGAAGATGTTGGAAAAAAATATGAATTCATAAGAAATCGGTGTTGAACATACAGAATTAAATTGATGCAAGTGTGTTTCTTTTCAAGTATCTTTTTAATTTTTCAAATTTATATTTTTATGGGATATAGTATAGTGATGTGATAGTACTACAAGAGATTGTTTTTGAGGTGAAATAAACAAAGAGGTTTAGGAATATTTTTATGTAGCAAGTGTAAGGGTAGCTTAGGATTTTTAAAAATGATGTTACACAAATAACAAAAGTAAAGGAGGTAAGTGATATTTTGATAACCTTAGGGGTGCGAGGTGACATTAAGAGAAACCTCAAGGGAGGTTTCTGATACTATCCCTACACGCACAAACCTAGAGAAACTAATGGCTAGATCTTAGCAGCATCCTTCACCCTTTGTTTTTGGTCTCAAACATTGCTTGAACCATGGAGATTGATGCCTGCTTATTGTTTTAGGAATTGGATATATATATATATATATTTTTTTTTTCTGGTTAATATATCTCTAAATGGTTCTTGCCTTTTTGTTTACTTGCAGAAGGAATGGAGAGATAAGAGGGACGAATTTAAGAAGAAGGTGAGCCGATGCGTGAGGAAGTCACAGGAAATGTTGTGATGCATCATTTTGTTGTGGGGTGGGGGGGGGGGTCTTTTTTGCTTGTGTGTACCAGAGTGTCTCAATTTGTTGTGTGGGAGGACTGGCTCATAGGGTTGGCATGCTAAGTTATGTGGAGTTCCAGTTCATGTTCTCACCTTTATCCGTTTATTAACCTCTGTTTATTGACCTCCTGTTAAGGCCTTTTCAATGGGTGAATTTTGTACTTGAAAAGGTTTTGTTAGTATTTTGGTGATTCTCTTCTTTTTCTGTCTTTCTCCAGAGTTCTTGTTAGCCTTTTATATGATTCTATAATGTGCAGATATTTGAGACCGAAATGGAGAAAGATGATGATGTTATGAAAAGAGATGAACAGGGGAAAAAATAGGAGCAAAGCAAGGGTCATGTAATGAACTTGTATATGCATATTGCCTAAGAAAAGTTAAAATCTGCGAAATGGTTTTCAAGGTTTCGATATTTAGTCCTTTTGAATTTTCGAATGGTTTTGTTCGCCCAAATTTTCCAAAGGAAGAGTTGACGATGCCGCTCATGCAAATCAGCCACGAGAGCCCGAGGTTTTTTTTTTTTTGACTTGGCCCAAAAAGTACGATTATATCCAGGATCACATGCCCTGAATTCCGTCCATCTTATGATATGATGATATGAGTGCCATCTTGAATGAATCAGGGTTGGTGTGGTTTAGACGGTGGATTCAAAGGGCTCCCCATCCTCACTACAATTCCATCATCAATATCTCGTACGTACCCAACTTTTTGTCCCCATTCTTTCTCCTCTGGCTCACTCACCGGCATTGCTCCATTCTCAACTGCTCTCTGATCCCCGAATCATCAACCACAAAACAAAACGAAGAATCATCCCATAAACAGTAAGAAAAATGTTGCTAATGGTGAATTATCATCGGATTAAAGCAAATATGTTCTGATCAAATCCCTCGAGAACATATATATAGCATTCAACTGCGTTAATGTACCTTGTATGCAGCATCGACATCAAGATAATCAAAACAAATCTCAACTGGCTGCCTCTTCCGGATAGGATCCGGGGTCTGGACCTTCCCTGTTATAACATCCGTCTCACGCTGGTGGATTGGGGTAAAAGCTATCGTCGTTTGTCAGCTCTCTAGCTCTCCCCATCTTCCGTCCATTCCATGCATGCATTTTTATTTTTTTTTTTGGTAGGACATGCATGCATTTAACCAGATATACAAGCCCATTAATAAATTACATTATATATATATATATATATATATATATATATGCACACACATGCAAAGTAACGCTACAAAATAAATAAATAAATAAATAAAACGGACAGCTTGATACTACTACAGCGTTTGTGTACCTGTGCGACTCATCCAAGCGGCGAACGTTGTGGCCGAAGGCGGTGGCGTAAAATTCAACGGATTTAGCTACGTCTCTCACATATACCACTGTGTATGCAAATGATGGGCTTAGCAAAGGTGCCATTCTTTATTTATTTATTTATTTTTTGTTTTTTGAATCTTCTTCAACTCTGGATTGTATGGAACTCTGATATAAGTAATAATTCACTAGTTGTATTTATTTCTCCAATATCCTAGAGATCAAAGTTTACAATTAACTGAAACCACCAGCATTTTTGGTGAACCAACTCCTTTAAATACTGAGAAGGCCAGTTTTACACGTAGGACATGGTTCAAGTTAATGAAGCTACGCGTGCACATTATGCCCGCTTAAAGCTGGTGGTTTGCTGCCACGTTTGCTTTGGGTTCGCCACACGTACGATTTAATGACGAAACCCATACAACGGATCTTCTGTCCCATATCCTGTGCCATTCTCTGTCCCAAATTCAGTAACTACAAATTCAGTAAAAAATAAATACAACAGCTTCAAAAAAATAATATATAATAGAAAATTAAAAAATGCAGCAGAAAATTCATAAAAAATCTCATTTTTTATGCATTTTGATTTTTTGAGTTTGTTAAATTTTGTGTATTACTAAATTAATAGTTATTGGATCTTAAGGAAACAAAAAAGAACTAAAACATGATATTTATGAAAGAGAAATAGCAATATAATAAAAAATGGGACAGAAAATAGCAAAGAATGTGAGACAGAAGATCCGTTGCGCCGAGCTGACGACAGAATTCCTTCTACACAAATTAAATGGTGATCTCAGTAATAGTAATACCCCACGTACATAGCCAACTTGCTACTGCTGGTTAGGTTTCGGAACCACGCACTTGTCCTCTAACCTCCCTTATAGCCCAATTAAGCCCCCTTCCCTGGTGTATAAAAGTAACGATTAAGGGGCCCAAAAAGAGAGAGAGAGAGAGAGAGAGAGAGAGCAATACAACCATGTGTTAAAGGTTTTAAGTTTACAAATCTTGAAAATGTCAGTAAAGCTTGAAGTCTTAAAATTTTGCTACTAGAGTTAACTTCAAATCAATTTTGAACTAAAAAAAAAGCTGGCAAATTAGATTATTGTGAAAAAGAAAGAAAGAGAGAGATCCCCTTAAAAAAAAAAAGGTAAATTACATATAATTTTCGTGTGGATTCGTAAATTGTTACATGACCTCTTTAGTTTTAAGATGTTTACATATTTTCTGATAGTTTTATGTAAAGTAAAAACTTGACACAGAATAGCATTCATAATATCGTTACTTGAAATATTAGTGTTGTTTCTAGTTAAACACTAAATTAAACAACAGTCTGAGTACCTTACTAAAACTATAGAAAAATTAGGTAGATAGATGAAAAAAATCATAAGGAATAAAGTGAATATTCATGTAAATTAAAAATGTGTCAAATGGATATTACGATTCTATCCCATGCGTCGCATTTTTTAATTGTGTTTGGTTCAATCACTGTAGTCACGGGTGTCTTCTGTCCATTATCTACCTTACATAAAATTAAAGAGGAGTTATGTGATTATTTTAAAATCTTAAGAAAGTTACGTGATTATATGACAGATCGCAAAGGGGGTCATATATAATTTTTCCCTAAAATGTTGTAGACCAAGAAACCCAAGCTATGCTCTTCATTTCCTCGGCATATTCCAAAATATTCTATTCACTATTCAGACGCAGAGATTTTGAACAACAATAAGCCAAAAGTCAACAGAAACGGTGAAGAACACTAACGCCCGTCAACCGTCCGTTCAATTGCTCAAAGTAGAGTCACCTCCTGCTCTGCTGTGCTGGTCCACAATCCATAAGCTTCATCACTGCATCTGTACTTTTATAATTGATGATTGAGGCAAAAATTGACGGCAACGTCAACTGACGGACAACCGCCAGACAGCAGACCATCTCACATGCCTTTTCGTCGTCCTCCTCCTCCTCCTCCTCCTGATTCCTTCTTCTTTTAAGTATTACTTTTACTGCTACTTACCAGAAGAGTTAATAATTACAGCTCTATTTTCTCACTCTAGATGCTTCACAATTTTCTACCAAGCTGTAAAATTCCTCCAGGTAATGCTGCTCTTTTGTCTCGATTGACTGATCCAAATGGCAAAGAGATCATGCATTAGTATGTTTGCTTCTGGTTGAATTGTACTTTTGTCGTATTCATGATTTCTTTTCTCTTCAGTTCTCCTGTTGAAATTCAAGTTAAAATTTAATAGCCTCTTTATTATGTTAGCATTAACGTGAAATTTCTGATTTCTGTTTCCAGCCTTAAATTTGGAATTCGTTATAAATTTATTCAGTTATGTTTATATATACAATCAGGGGTAGTTTTTTTGACTAGGCATTCTAGTGCTGATGCTGGATAGAAATGATACTTATTTCTGTAAGTTATGGTAGACAATATGCTTTTTTCAGTAAATAGTGCACTTAGGAGAGATGAAAAATGGGCAAAGCTACTCGATTCTCTGTTTGAGTTCGCTCGGTACTTGTTCCGAGATTCATTCATCAACTAGCGGAACCAAGAAAGCACAAGATTTAGTGTTTCTTCAAGCTGCTATTCAGTTTGACTCAATTTACCTAAAACATGAGATCACATTACAAAGAATTCAACATACCCAAGTTCGAGGCGAGCTTGGCTTAATGAACTCGTTAAGCATTCAAATAAAGCTTGTATAGTATAGTTTAAGATCCTTTACACGCCTGAGAACTTTCCGATCATAAAAGGGAGAGTGTTTGCATGGTTATCTCTCAATTTGATAAGTAATTTTGGACTGTTTTGCCTATTTGTTAAACGGTTGATTGAGAAACTGATTACACCCTCAATTTGATCAGCGATCTTAGTCCATATTTCTGCTTGTATATACACCTCATCATTTGTTAGAGAAAGGGTACAACTAATGCAGTGATGGTCGTTATGGTTTGGTCATTTTGAGCTTTATCCAACAAATATTAACGCACAAGTTTTGTCAAGTTCTCTTATATTGATATCCATTATATATGCTTTTGGTTTTGTTGCAGGTCCAGTTGTTTAGGATAGATGGGTTGATTCTTTAGCCAGATTATATGCCCTTGAATTGACTCAATGGGGGACTTGACTTCGGGTTCTAGCTCATTCAGGACTGTAGCAACAGATTCTACTAGTGGCATGAAGAAGTCAACAGGGCGTTTGATTGCTTCTAGCCATAAATCTTGTTCACATCAATCTCTGCAGAGAATTCCCTTCCGAAACCAGTTGCTAAGCAACGAGAATTTGGGGCGGGTAGCTGGTAACCCAGTTGCGTCATTTTTACTTAAAGCTGCTGCATTAGAGGTTGTGCGGAGGTTTTCAAAGGCCAGGTGTCCGTTTGTCTGGTCCACTTTGCAGGCTCTGCAAGTTGTTTGTTATCCACCATTTAAGTGGATAGAGAGGTGGAACCCATTTAGAGCTTTGGTTAAAGGGATGCAGGTTGGTGCTTACACTACTAAGTAGTGCCCACATTCATCTATCAAGTAAATATGAAGTTGCCTGCTTGTTTCTCACAAATTTCCAAGCAATATTAAGTAATTATATTGTCATATGCATACTCTAATCACTAACCTGCTTTCCTGAGGCAATTTTCTTTACTGCTTCAAAATCTTATCATTTAGAAGTCTGTGCTTTGATTAAGACTGAGTATAGGTCATCAAAAGTGCAGTGAATTCGAGCCTGCATGAGTGGAAACTATTTATTGACTTTCTGGATACCAAAAAATTGTTTCAGAATATGGTACAATCATGGGAATTTAGTCTATGGCAGTTAGCAGCAAGAATTGTCTCAATATACAATTCATTAACCTCTGTCTAAATAGAGATCTAAGATCCATGCTTTCTTATCCACTAAAGAAGAAGCCTTGTGATTTCATCATACTTTCATTGAGCAAATGACTTTTTGTTAAAAATAAAATTGGGATGATCCTCTTTGTCCAACTTAATAGAGTGGCCTGATCAGCTCAAAAGCTTTAATTTATTTACTCTACTTTGTTATCTAAACTTTTACCCTAAGTTGCAAATATTTTGATAGTAATCTATACATATTGTAGATTATTCCATCATGCAGGACACTTTTATGACTTTGGTTATGTAAGGGTGCCAAATAACATACTTGTTGCTATTGACATTTAATGGTTGTGGTATCTTCTTTTCTTTAGATGCTGTCGCGGCCTTTACTGGTAATATCCCTTGCAACAGCCTTGTCTGATGGTTCAGGATGCAAAGATGATACCTTGGATAATGAAGATCCTCCTCGCACCAGTGAATCTACCTCATTAGATTCCCCTTCAGATATATCCTCTGTGCAGTCTGCTCCCAGTATGAGGTAGATAAACTGATATTGCAGCATTCTTTTTCTTCAACAGTTTTCACAATGTTGCTGCTGATGTCTTCAAATTCTTTATTATGAAGTATTCAACCTGTAAATATCCAATACAGGTGATTCCAGATCGGGCCTCATTGTAGTGCTGGAAGTTTTCTTGACTATGATTTTACCTGTACAGATACTCATCTCGTTGTATTTTTTTGGTCAAGAACTTCAATTACACTTTTTTTTTTTTCAAATAAATCAGTTCTCTAATGGAGGCTCATTTGATTACATGAGTTGTTTAACTTTGCTGTTTTACCATCTGTACCTTTCCTTGACCTTCTACACTTGAATGGTCATAATCAGAATGTAGTTCTGGGTGCTTTCATGTGCATGCATTTTATTGTTTTCCCTGGTTAACCATGATGAAGATTTCCTTGTTTTGCAGTATTGGTGGTGATGGGTCTGAAAATCTATCTTCTAAAACTTGGTTGCTTCTGCTCTATAAAGAACTTCAACTTCAGGGGATAACTTTACCTGAAAGGTAATTGTGACAAAATGAATAATACTCTCGGAGTATTATATTAAGAAATTGTCTTGTTAATTGCCGTAATCAAACAAAATCACAAAGGAAGTAAACAGTTTATGGTAATACCAGTTTAGTAAGTAACTCATCTTCCTGCATTAGTTGCTTCCATCTCTTAAAAATGGTCTTTTTATTTCTTCATGTTCCTAGTTCATTTATTTGTTGTTGGAGCAGGCACAGATTTAAGTTATTGGGGATTGAAACAACAGTATGTCCCATTGGGGAGCTAATCATAGTGCCCCATACCATTGTGCACACATTCTAATTTATACTGAAAATGATTGTTAAATTTGAGTTTTCTTACTAATAACAATAGCAGACATGAGTTTGTTCTCCAAGGAATTTACTTGTTTCTTAGCCATGTAATGATCTCAGGCTGCTACATGGCTGAATAGCCTCACAGTGTTGAGCTGAATATCAATGTCCCACTATTAAGTTCTAATTTCCTTGTAAAGCAGCATAACCTATTTGATGAGGGTCATTTGCATCTTGGGTATTAAACATTTGGATTGTCTGACTAGGTGGGTTAGTCTTATGGCTACTTTTCATCTCTAAGGTTTATGCCCCTTTATCCGGAACTGGAACATTTTGTAATCCAGACTGCTTATTTCTTTCTCAAGGATTTCTCAAGGTGCGGGTTTATTGGCTCAATAATTTAACTTAAGCTACAAATACTTGGAAGATTGTTCTATATATTACTTTAGCTTGTATTTATGTGATATCTTAAAATATTTCTTCATGCACTGGAGCATGATATAACAGTGTTTATGCAGAATTGATGAGGAGGAGCTTCATAGATTCTATGAGACCGCGAATGGAAATTTTCCACGCTTTCTATCATTAGTGAAGAAAACAATCTCTTGGAGGAAGAACTACCGAATTCTGTCAGAACAAGAACTTAAAATGTGGTCAAGTATGGTCTTCTGGCATGGAGTTGATAAAAAACATCAACTTTGCCTTATTGTCCGCCTTGGATTGGCTTGCATAAGCGTGCCATTATCTGACAGACCTCGATTTTCTCAGGCAGTTGGTATGCTTTTCAACTTCTATGATTTTGTGAGTTCTTGCTGTCAATTTTTACAGAATAAATTGGACGTGAAGACGTGCTTCTTTCTTCCCCTTTCAGTTTGGAGGAACATAACTCTAAGTTGTTTTTTGTTTTTGCTTTTATTTTTCCTTGTTCCACTTATTCCTTTTTTCTTTGGTTGTCATTGTTTTGTTGTTTGCATGCAATTTACTGCTTTAATAATCCTTGTCAAATGCAAACCCATTTTAGATTTGTCATTTCAAATAGCTTCCTTCCTGTTTTCTTTTGCTCGAGGAATTTGATTTGACTTCTATTACAGCTCTTATGTGAACTAAGCTGTATTAGAGTAGGTTGGTCATAGGTGCTGATTCATCAATTGCCTCAGTAGATGATGCGTTTTAGTGTCGGTGTCATTTTCTTCTTCTTTAGAAAACTGACTTACTGCGGTAAGTTTGCCATTCAACTAATTATATTGGTTATGACTGAGTTTGCCTTATAAAAAGTGTTGTGTTGGTAATCAAACCAATGAAATCCTGTAGTTGCCTTGGGTTCTTGACCTTTGGGCATATTTCTCATTTTTAGTGAGTCAGCTTCATAATAATTTTGGTGACGTCAAAATGTTGCTTGAATTACATAATTCATTCCATGTTGCATACACTCATTAAATTTGTGATATCAATTCCTCTTAGTGAAATATTCTTATATTTGTCTTCTTCCAATCTTCACATATTTATCTGATTACCCATATAGGTCATTGTTGTGTTATGTTGTCACTATATGGCTTCATTACAAGATTACTCATTTGTTATATTTAATCTGAATATTTTAGAATATGACAGTTTCTGTTGACAATTTTGCTGATGCTAGATTTGGAATTCTAAATAGTGAGAGTCATACATGCTGTAAAATATGGTACTAATGAAGTAGGGTAAATCATGGAGAAGCATTTTTCTGTCCCTGTCTCTCTATTTTTTTATTAATTTTTTTTTTTTCATTTTTTGCTTTCTTTTCTTTTCTTATACCCATTACTAAAGCAATGATTTGTCTTGACCCTTGATTTTAGTTTCTCAGGTGGAATATGGAGTTCTCCATCTAATGGACAATGAACATTCTCGAATTACTGTCTTGGTGGACTGTGAAGGCTTGTCACCTCTCAAGTTTCCCATGCAAATGTCATTAACCTGTTGCAATATTCTGCAAGAGCACTTCCCAAAACGTCTAGGCTGCATATATGTCGTACGACTTCCCCTAGTTGCTCGAGTCATTGCACAAACTTTTATCCAGGTAAGCTTCTGTAGCAGTTTTTTATCTGATTTCCAAAGTTTCACTTCATCTTGTTAATGCTTTAGATTGGAAATTAACCTTCCTATCACTGGTTAGTTTCTCAAACCTGGAACCAGACAAAAGCTGAAAATTCTTGGAGAGATGTACCAAGAGGCTCTTTCCAATTGCATCGAGACACTCCCGTCATGTCTTGGTGGGTTATGCACATGCTTGACATGTTCCAGGCTTGACATCTGCAATCGGCAGCAGCCCTGTATTACTGAATCCAATTGGGGTGAATCATTTGCAAATATAACAAGTGAGGAAGTTCTGCCGGCACTTGATCCAACTTATGACACTGATATTCTCTTAAGCGCCAGTGGTGAACAATTATTGAGAAAAGCTGTAGTTGGAATTCTCATATTCTGGGTGTTGATTGCTTTCTTTGCCGGAGTATATGCATCTTGAAAGCAGACCAGTTTTAAACTTGAGGTGAGATCAGACCATACCCCGTTTTAGTCAACTCTTAACAGTTGTTTTAATAGTTGGTATTATTTGTAATCTGCTCCCAGAGAAGTTTTTGTAATTCTGCATTGTAAAATATTCTCATAAAAAAAAACATGAATAAGCAGGTTATTGTTCATGTTATTAGTGGAGTTGGTCAGAAACCCCACTAGATATTCTTTTGGCCATTCTTTGATTTGGGAGTGCATATATGTTGGTTCCAGGGTAACTAGAAATTCTACATATTGATTCTGGTATGGTCAGACCTCAATAACGAAATAATACCTGACTTCCCCAACTTTGTCAGGGGGAGTTCATCTCCAGTTCGAAGTCTCGATTGTGCATGGCAACTCTAATCGAGTCTTGCGAAAAATGACAGGCTTTATGTTGGTCTAGGCTAAACCTGGATCTAACTGAGCTTGGTCTACGTTTGGAACTTCTACCATCTTAGATTCTCAAGCAATATGCTTAACCATATTGTTTCTCTTCCTTAAATTCAAGTCACTTACCATATGGAACCTTTTAAATTTCACTTTAACTGAAACGAGATGTATGCATGACTTAGTTTCCAAAGAATGTGCCTTTTGATGTCAATAGGGCTATGCATCGTTTTGCTAAATTTTCATATATTCCGAAAGGTCTGCACAAGTTAGGCCAGAATGTGTCGCTGACTTGACATCCTGATCCAATGAAGTATACTGGCATAACGAGTCATCGGCCATGCCAGAGCAAAACCTCGTACAAAGGCCAACCACGAACGGAACTTTCTTGTATCCGTTGACGCCAAAAGTCCATGGTGCAGAATGGAGGAAATAAAAAGCTGTATGTGAATATCAGCAAAAGCTTAAATCCCGCTCGAAATGGGTAAGAAGAAAGCTAAACAAGATGGGAAACTTTTCTGAAGATCGTATTGTATCTTGTCTTGAAAAGCCACTGAGCATATACAAGGAAATTCAATCATGAAAACAAGTACATATTTAGTCTGCTTGAAAATAGTTCGGAAATCGAGTTTGGTTGCCGTTGATTCTTTGTGCCTGCAGTTCTTCTTCTGTACAGTATTACTCTTTTCGTTTTGTTATCCTTCCCTAGTCCTAGAGATATCAATAGTAACATAAGATAAAACCTTACTCTCAGGGTGTTGCATTTGTGTATTAATCACTTGGTTGAATTTCTGGTTTCTTTTCCTGTTTTCCGGGGTTTGAAGCATTACTGCTTTCCAGGTGACTGATCGTGCAAATTTCCTTGCTCCTTGAATTGGCAAATGCCTTCTAGACTGCCCTTATTGACCTTGTCATGGAAGTCCAAATTCACAAATCTGGGGTCCATTCAGCAGCCAATGAGGATGTTATAAGCCTGGATGGCATAATGTTGTTTACATCGTCAATTCTGACAGAAAGTTCAGTCCTAGGAACTTATCAAGTTTTATTCGCATATTCTTTGCAGCGATTGGGTCTGCTCAATTTGTTCTAATCGGCATCCGAATTGTGATGATGACTGGGTTCAAATTCGTCTGTTTCTTAGAGAAAATCCATGTGGATTACAGGCTTTGAGCTATGGATAATCTGAAAATCCAGCAGCGATAACTATTGATGACATGGATAGAAAAGTACTTCATTGTTAGTCAACCTCCGTGCATGTACGGACAAAACATCCATCCGCATCCAAGAGAAGAGATTGAAGCAAATCATCTTTTTGCCTCTTTAAAGGTGGGTTCCAGCTTCCCCCTTTCACAACTGGCAATAGTGAATAGCGAAATGAAAGTTTCTGCAACTCTCAAAATCACTACTTTCGCGACTTTGCTATTTTCCCAGCATTCGTCACTTTGCGAACACCTCAAGCTCCCTCGTCATGGTTTTGGCAGATGTTCTAATATTTTGTTTATTTATTTATTCATTAGTAAAATCACATATTGAAAGTTAAAAACTCAGATCAGAGTGCTATTTTCTAACTTCTATCTGAGCATATCTTAGTTCAGGCAACTCATTAAAGCGTCTGAACAAGTCATACTTGGATTCTTGCATTTAGTAGCACGCCAGCTCTCCACTTGATCTCTCTCTCTCTCCCTCTCTCTCTCTCTCTCTATATATCTATGCACACATATATAAATCAACCCTTTTAATTTATTCTTGAGCTATTTTGTCCGCCATTGTTTACCCCTAAAAAATGTGATGGATGAGGTCGAGCAAAAGTGCAGAATTTTCAAAGATGAAACATGCAATAGTCGTTGGTCAAAACTGAAAAAAGCCTTAAGCTTTCATGCTTTAGGAATTTATTAGAGGAGAGTGCCCTTTATCCGAAAGATCATCCATTGGTTAGTCCTTGTTTCAAGCTTCACTTCACCAAATGGCCTGCCAAGCACTACGTCAGTTTGGAGTTCAAATGCAGAGGACATGAGCCTCCACTTGGTAAAGAAAGTATGGAAGTAATTGCTATGATTTAGAAATCGTCATAACAAAGCATATGTATTTCATTGAGTGGGAGTTTTTGTTCATCGAGCAAATGTGGTACGCGGCGCATTATCCCTAGATGAGGGATCTTATACCACCTTCATTTTCTTCAAAAGACAAAAAGTAAAAAAAATAAACAACGCTATTGGGGATCTTAATCGAAGCACCATCTTTGTTAGTATGGAGGGAAGAGAAAAAGAAACGTTTCTTTGTTGACTGACTGGGGCACAATTTCTTTTGCCCTGTCTATTCCGAAGAAGAAAACGAGATGGCGAAGAAAGTGGTTTACTCAATTTTTTCTTCTTCAATGGACCAGAAGTAAGCATTGCTAAAAATGCAAATGAAATCAAAACAACAACAAGTCTTGATGTAAAATCATTTCGTCAACTAGACCATAATATCTTACAAGAAATTAATACAAAAACGAGTAATTGCTCAGATTCCATATTATCCGCACGATATATATTAGTACTAGAATTTTGACCCGTAAGATTTCAAATCAAACTATTAAAATTATTGTTGTTGAAAAGAAAAGGCTAAAAATTAAAAATGGTATCAGTTTTACCGTCAATCTGTACGAAAATGCGTTATTTTAAATGAAAGTAAAGGACACAAATTTTTCACTCATGAAAGGTATGCAACGACACACTCATCAACTTGAAAAAACATTGAAATTTCCTAAAAATTATGTTTAATTGTCATATTTTCTTGCACTTTCCTATCAAAATTTGTCCCATCTTAAAAAAAAAAAAAATCCTTTTTTAGTCATATTATGCCCTAAGAATTTAGTATATTCTTAAAGTACTTATGATTCTTTGAATACTAAAGAAAAAAATAAATTGTAGCTGTAGTATTAGTATTGGATAACATGTTGTTAAAATAACTACATAAAAAAAAGAAAATAAAACACAAAAAAAAAACAAAAAAAAACACCTAAATAAGATAAAAAAACATGTTACAAAAGGCCCAAAAAATACACCAAACACATACATCATTACCTTCCTCATTCTCTTCTTTACTATCTATCATTACCTTCCCTACTCATTATAATTTCTATATTTTATTATATAATTTTTTTTATGTATAACACTAATAATGATTTAACAAATCATTCTTTTAATTTTTAGTAAAAAATAAACATGAAATAATATTAAAAATTACTGTGATCTTTTGAACTCATTTCTCCATATTTGATTCTACATTAATCTAAACTAATTGCAATTTTTTCTTTATAAACAACATACAATATGTGAAAAAAAATAAATAAAATAACACAAGAATAACCATTTTATCATAATAAATTGATAATAACAATTCATCATTTATTCACAACAAAATATCACGTCATTAAATTCATATAATACACACACACACATATATATATTTTAATTATAAATGGAGGGACCTACCCTCACTCCACCCCCAATCTCCATTCTCCCTCCATGATACTATTCTCCTTTTTCTACTATTATTCTCTCTTATCCAACAACCTTACCTTCCCCATTCTTGAAATCCTTCTCTTTCCTCTCACCATGCAAGTCTCACAATCCCCCTCTTCCCCTCAATAATTTCAATTTCTCCCTACCCTCATAGCCCTATCTATTCCCTTTTTTGGTATACTTCCTCCATCCTATTGATTGCCCTTTTTTCACTTCCCAACCCTATCTTCCCCAGTTCATGACCTATTTCATCATCGTCTCAAAGTTTTCGTCAAATCCAAGGTAAAAATTCTAATAAGTGGGATCGGTGTAAATTTCATAAAATTTTGCAGCTTTGGAATTTTTCTATAAATATCTATTAAAGTAATTTTCAAAAAATCTTAAAACATTCCTAAAATGAACCATTTAAATACACTCTTGCTTATTTGAATTCATCTCGCGGTAGATTTTGTTTACTATATAACTCATTTTTAAATATTATACACATACACACACGTACGCACACATGTGTGCGCGTGTGGATATATCAAAAACGTATTTTACATATGTCAAAATTTAGTAAACAAAAAAGAAATTTATATCAATCAAAACTATAAATTTTTTATCTAATGTTGATAGAATCTAGATACAAAATCAATAAGAGTTTAGAATATCATTTGAATTTTTAGAATGAAAATATTTTCTTATACGTAATGAATGGATACTAACACGTCAAAACTCAGGAATCAATAATGTGATACAAAAATTAAAGAGCACAAAGATAAATTCATAATGTAGTATACTCTATTTCCTAAGAGAATTGTAAATTTTAACTACTAAATTATAACATACTTATTGTAAAATAGGGATATTCATATTATCCTTGTTAGACTTGTATCTTTCTCAAAAAAAAAACAAAAACACGAGAGTAGTATATTAATTATATTGGGCAAGGTTATTACTATCATATGAAAGGGAGAAAGTTTCCAAGCTTAAGCGGTACATTCATATATTTAAGTTGAAATTAGAATGTTTCCTTTTAAAATTTGAATATGTTTCTAATTTTAAAAAGTATATATTTTCGTTCTCTTATATTTATATTTGGTAGGATTAGTACATTAGGTAGGATTACTATATATGGGATCTGTCTGACGGATGCCCATTAGGTACTCATTACAATATATATCATATGTCATATTTTTTGAAATCTAGAAATTCTGAGAAATTACCTGCCAAAATCCTGACTTACAATCAAATTTACTAAAAATATATCTATATTGGATTCTATTTATTAACTCATTTTTATCTGGTATATCATAGCTATCTTCTTTAGTATTGTCATTTAATCTTTTATAATTTATTACCATTCTACTTTTTCCCCTAACTATTTCACTATGTTTTTTAACTATAAATGCTGCACTTCTGTGTGGACTAGTACTTCTTCTAATTATTTTTAACTTATTTAGATCAGCTATATGCATTTCGAATTATTTTATATCATCATTACTAGCTTCTATTTTTGCTGTGCTAATTTTTAAATTTGGATTTAATATATCTAACTTACATTCTGTTTTGTCCTTATCCCAATGAATAGTTGGATTTTCTCCAAAAATTTCTAATTTTTCTAATTCACTTATTAGTTGGTCTATATCTCTATGTCCTGTTTCTAACAGATCATATAATTTTTCATTATTTAAAATAGTTTCGATTGTGTCATAATTTTCTATCTCTAAATAGTTTTCAAATTCTTTGTCTTCTAAACAGTTTTGAATTCTTTGTGACGAATATAAAGGCCTTTCTCCAGTCATCTCCATATTGTCAAAAGAATTTGTTTTCTGATTCTTCCCCCTATATTCCTGGGTTGAATCATTCTTACAGCTACCTTTTATGTCACATTTACAATTATCTTTTTCTTCTAGTCCTAAGAGTCTTGTAAATTTATTATCTTTATTTATTTTAAATTTATTGCTTGTTAAAAAAGTATTATATGGTAAAAAATGTTCTCTAAGGAATGTTAATCCTGTTCTAGTAAGAATCATGCCATGATATGCCTGTAAAATAAATGATAGTCCTAATATCATTTGATAAGGAAAACTTCTAATATATATTTCTGTTACAGGATATGGTTGTGTACAGTGTATGCTATCTATTTCAAAAAATAATAAAGAATTATGTAATGTTGTGTCATATGTATATGTACTTCCATCCATTTGTCTAGCTGTTCTAATATGGTATGCTTTTTCATAATATTTTTCTGGAATTAACTCTTGTTGGATTACTATATTACTAGCTCCTGTGTCTATTACTGCTAATAATTGTGTTTCAAAATCTCCTATTTTTATTCGAGTTTTTACTTCTATTGATGTTATATTTGATGTTCCTGCTTGTAATAATTCTAGATCATAATTATGTTTTATTTCTTCTATTTCTGGAAAGATTTCTAAATCTATGTTTTCAATAGATACTTCGCTTTCTATTGTTTTTCCTTTATTTAATTTTTCTATTTTTTGCTCTAAATGTTCAACCTTATTTTCTAAAATTCTTATCCTTCTTTCTAAATAATGTTCTAAAGGCAGATTTTCTTCAGTTTTTTCTTTTTTAATATTTTCTATTAAAACATATTCCTGTGTAAATTTTTCTAGACAGAATTTGCATCCTTCTATATAACATAGTTGACATTGAAACCTTAATTCTATTGACGGATATTTATTACAGTTATAACATGGTTTACTATAATTTCCTTTTCTATGTTCCCATTTATGGATACACTCTACTTCAACTAGTTCTAAATCTTCTAACATTTTAAAATCTTCTTTCATTTCTTCTAAATATATATTATCCATGATAGTTTTGTTTTCTGATTTTTCTAAAATTTCATCTATAAAACTTGTGTCCTCTTGTTCTATAAAATCTGTTAAATTTAAGTCTTCAGATACTATACTATAAATACTTTCTGTCTCTAGTATATTATCATCTATTTCTATTAAATCTTCCGAAAATAATTCAATTAAGTGAGCTTCTCTATTAAAAGAGTTATGTTTTTGTGGACAATTTGTTGCTAA